ATGTTGACTCTTTCTATCTTAGGAAAGTTATTGAAGTATATAAACTAAAGGTATTTCTATTATTGTGAACCGATTGGATCATCATTGTGAATGTATCCTTATAGATTATCCAGGACATGAACGCATTCAAAAGATTACTAAGAGATGCAGAGATTAATTACTACTGCTTGTATAAGTAAGATAATAGTGGTAGTTGTGTTAATAAAACCCAAGCATATAAGACTTTGACCTAAATTAATGCATAATTATTATTATGATCAAGATCAGCTCATGTGTCACTCACTAAAAATGTGGAAATCCTTTGTTTGGTGAAACTAGTATTAAATTAGTAAAAATTTGAAAAAATTTTAATTACAGTTGGTACATGTAGTTTGCAAGTTGTATTATCTAATAACAGCACTGTCGAATTAATAATTAAAGATGTGTTTTTTAGATGTTATACGTTCCTCCAGTCTACTGGCAATGCTGACTTATTGCTCAAGTGTTCGTTGAGAGAGGCACAGAGTCAAAATGAAAAGGAGAGCAAAGCAGTCTTGGATTCTCTTGATGAGTTTATGCACAGAAAAAATGAGACGGTGACAAAAAAGACATCGGCTACTGCAACCGGCTCAACTATAGACCTCATATAAATTATTATATTATTGGCAGCAGTAATGCTTTTATACCATATATAATATTTGCTATTCTAATATCTATGCTACTACTAATTTTACAAATTATAATAATGCGCCAATTATTATTGTATGCGAGATATTTTGATTTGACCTTTGTCCCACTTGTACATGCATCAAGATGTCTGCCTCTGGTGGTTTGGCAACTAAACCAGACATAACCTTACTTCCCGTGTTGGTTCTCTTAAAGATCGAATCTTTCCTGAAGGAAGAGGACAGCCAGTCACTCAGTTTGGTATGCAAACGTTTATATTCAGTTTTACCACGTTATCTAGTCATAAGGGGTAAGGATTTTATGATAAGTGGCCCAGGTTGGGGCCATTTCACACCCGAGCATTACTTCAATGGCCCGCGGCTGACTGGTTCGGTGAAGAAGTTAGTAATATCTTTAAAATGGAAGGATCAAGGCTGGGGGAATCGGAAGGGAGACATCTTTTTAAAATTAATGAGAGGCGAAGAGGCTGTTGCAGTGAAGTACCATCCGCTTGGCGTTGCTCCACACAAAGAGGAAGAAGCAAGGACGGAGCTGATGAATGAGCCCATTGTAACTGAAGCTAGAGCAGGAGACTATTATGAGTTTAGTAGGAATCCTGGTGGAGGTGGTGGTCATAAACTTACAGTTAAAAACTACAGAGTAGTTGTACATTATATATAATAATAATTATTATTAGTGGCAATGGAGATTTACTCTCAGCTGTCACTGCCAATCGTTACTGTCATTTTTTCTACACTATCGTAATTATCACAGCCATTTTTTCCATTTTACTCTCCTTGTCAACTGAACATTCATTTGGTTTCATTATGTCGCTGTCAATTATCACTGTCATTTTTCTCTATTTAGATCTACTCAATTAGATATCATCTGAATAATGAACATTGATCTCATCATTAATCACTTTCAGTCTTTAGTTTAATGTTATCATATTAAGTACTCTTAGTTTCTATGGTAGGTGTATTATATTAGTAGACTATTGTGGGCTGGCCAATAAATTCCGTCACACCTACACAGAAATTTGATTCTGTAGCTATGAAGCTTCTCCTTGCTGTTGCAATAACATTTCTGTTTGTGTTTAACTGCCAAAGTGATGAAGATCTAACCCCTTTCATAGCTTGGTCTGACAAGTAAGCTAAAATCAATAAAAGAGTCTTATAAATCAAACACTGCAGTGACTTGCTCTCCAGGATGCAAACCAAATACAACATTGATGACCTGACTAGTGACTTATCTAAGCTTGAAGCTGGAAAAGTTGACCTGGTTATTCTATTCAATTCAAGAAAAGTAAGTAATGATAAAGATGCAGTCAATCTGCACAAATCATGCAGCATGCCATGGCCATATGTATGACTACAACTGACTGAATACAGTGTCTACATACTTCTATTGATGAAGCCGATGTGGCTTTGTTGTGCATTGAATGCAGTGAATACACTAATGCTAAAGCAGTGTTACTCATTTTATACCTTATGTTTAGCTCTCATTCAGTGGGATTGCTCAAAATGGTGGTGTCTTTTATGAAACGTCCTCTGCTCTTGAATATTTAAAGAATGAGTTTGAATCATCTCGCTCGCAGTATTGGACAGGGTATAGGTCTATTGGAGCCAATTGGATGGCAGAACTTGCAAATAAAATGAGACTTGGAATACAATACAAAAGTGACAGAGGTATTATAAAATGTTTTAATAGCTCTTATGCTATTTTTATATGACAGAACTGAAGAATGCATCCATGCTAGCAAGCTACTCTGACCCAAATAATCTGCTAGTTATAAATCTTCAAGGTGATGACATCAAGGCTCATGGTATGTATTGCATGGTAATATCTCTAACTATGCAATTTAAAATGTTCAGATCATTTTATCAATTCTATCATGACAAAAGTAAGGGAAATGAAGTTAACTTATTTAGCAATTTACACAAGCAACACTGAACTAGTAAGTACCTATTTGACCATGGCACATGTCAATTAAGGAATATAATCCTTATCATTCATAGAGGCATTTGATACATCCTCGGAGCATTAATGATAAAATAAAAGTCAAAGGAGGAGAAGAAAATTCGGTTGACAATAACTGCCCAGTTGGCGGACTATTCAATAAGAGTGAAGATGGATCACCTTGTATGCTTTTCTGCATGAACAATAATGTTGTATTTACACCAAATGCAAGCAATTCAGCATACACCTGCTCACTAAGCAGTCCTTATAATGTTACTGGATGCTGTGAATCAGACCTAAACAAGTAAACTATACTCTGTCTGAATATCTACTTAATATTACTGTGAATATTTATTTTTGACATTTAATTATAATTATAGGACTCTAGGCTGCATGAATGAGTCATATCCTTTTGTTAAAGTGGAGTATGTTATTGAGAATGTCACACAGTACTCTGATGCTAACTCGTGTCACCGGACAATATTTGATGAATCAGTTTTTCCAGTGAGACCAGAGGCACCTCACTTTGAGAATGCAAGGCCACAAATCTTGGTAATCTTAAAGTAAGCTCTGCAAAAATATTACTTTGATGCTAATTAACTTTTATTTTTCTTTCAGATTTATGTTTCCTAGTTATCAAAATTCATCAACCCCAAACTCTTGGAATGTTACTATTAATGTCACACATTCCTACATATGGCTAGAAGAGGATAAAGTTGAGCCTGAAGAAGCTCCAGAAGATGACAAAAATCAAGGCACAATCACTTTCTTCTCCATCACTCAGAGAGAGTCGCCAAGTCAAAACCTCTACACTGCTTTCAAAGTTAACTTTGGATTAAGTTACAGCTGTGGATCAAATGAGTACAACTTTTACAGTACATCAGCAATCAATGGATCTAGTGTTCTACTTGAAGGGATGCAGGTAGACAAAATTATGGTTTCAATATTGTTAGCAATGTGAACTGATTATTTAAAATCCTCTCTCCTCGTTCATTCTTTAGGTTCAACCTTATAATGTGTCATCAAATGTATTCTCATCAGCTGATAATTGTGCAGGGTATCTAACAATCACTGCATGGATGGGTATTATTGCTGTGAGTCTCCTTATACTCATACTATACATATCGATTGTTGCTGCATTCTCCATCGCTCCTGTTGACGAGTTTGAAGATTCACGCGAAGAAACAATTAAAATAGAAAAGATGCATTAGTCAGTAGGCAGCAGAAATACTTTGATTAATAATAATTATTATTGTGTAGATTATTTATATTTGTATAATATAACTTATAGCTTGCTTTAAGTTGATGTTTGTGTGCTTGTGTGATTTATTATATGTCCAAGTCATCATCTGGGTCGCTCTCATCCCAGTCATCAACTTCATCTAATTCATATGTTACTAGTCCACTACCCATCTAGAAATATAAAATGACAGTCTTTATAGACACATTGTACTGTATCAGATGAGGGATAAATTATCATGCATAACTTTTTGTACAATTAAAAATAAAAGTGAAACCCAGCTATACGTATATGAAAAAATAGCTCTATAATTTCCATCTCGATGCATTTACACGTACTTGTGTTTCTCCACTTTTGTTAATTTGTTGTGTATAAGGTAAAATAACACGTGATCTGTCTTGTTTCTGCCTCTCTGTCAAACGAAGGTCAAAGGTCAAGTTAGCAGTTGGATCAATGGGAACCTACAGTGATAGGATGCCTTGGATAATTATACTCTCATTAATTTTGCTAAAAATACCTGCTCAACTGATTTCTCTATTTTATTCTTTTCCTCATACTTGTGACAAATTATATCTTCATTTTCGATAGCATAGGTATTTATCTATAATACCAAAAACTAATAATAGCAATCAATTTATTATATTTCCTCACTTCTCTGAGTATCTTTCCAGATTTTCTTTTGTGGCATAAAGAGCACAAAAGTTTTTGATCATTTCTTCTTGGAAACATTCTTATAGTTGATGACATCACGTGGTGGAGTCCATTACTTATGTGATCTTCACAAAGATCATGATGAATGAGATAGTATGAGGTTGAATAGCTCTTTCCTATCATAGTAGTAATATGATCCTTTTCTCTCTCTATTCTCTCTTACCTAATGTTTGAATGGTTCTACACAATTCAGTATACTCATAATAAATTAGCAAAGTAGATAAGTTATCAACAATGAGTGCTAAACTGGATGACATTGCTGGTTTAGGAAACCGAAATATATTCATCAGTATATCTGGAGACTTGTCACTGTACCAAATTAAGAAATTGTAATTCTAACACAATAAGTATTATTGGCAAAATTACAGTAATTTGAATTATTCTCAAAATTTTACATTACAATAATTACCTTTTAATGTTCCAGCCTACTGGATCAGTTAAACATTGACTAATAATTATTCTATTAAATAATAATAATAATAATAATAATATTAATATTAATAATAACAACGTGCAAGTATTTCTAATACTTACCTCTTAAGTACAAATTCAGACAGACCTCCTATCCATGTATCTTTAGACAAGTCCGTAAGTAACACATGCACAATGTCATACCTAACATCAGTATCATTATTATTCATGATGATACATACATAATTAATTACCTTTTCACAAGTTGAATTAAAATATTTCTTAAAAGTGGTCGGCCATTATGCTCAGTAGAATCTGTCACATAAAAAAATGACAATAAATTTCAATAAGTATAAGAACCTTCAAGTAGTACTTTAGAGCTCTCCTCTGTACCAGAAATAATGCTCTTCAGCAAAACTGCCATGATTGAAATTAATCTTAATGTGATAATAATGAATGATTAATATTGTTGTGGGCGTGCCCCCGTGTTAGAGTAATTAGTACCAGAGACACATGACCTCAGTGTCAGGTATTGGATCCTCTCCTCTTATTCTTACCTCCTTCACTCTGATCAGGAGCCTACCATTACTCCTCCTCTCTTCCTTTACTAGGGTCCTATAGTTTCTGTTAGATTTGTGCCTGAGGCTATCAAAGAAGGAAGAAGAGGGTGAGAATGGCAATGGCAGATAATGAGATGTCTGGTTTAACGCAAGAGGAGAAAGAGGTCTTGTATAAAGTGATGGAGAGAGCAAAAGTGAGTTTAGAGGCAAATCAAATGGGGCTAATGCTAGCTAAAAACGGAATATAATAAAGGAGTTACTTGTACAGTACAAGCAGAACTATTACCATTTTATCCTCCAGTACAAAAGCACTATAATAGATGCTACAGTGTCTCTGATAGTAATTGTGTATAGCAGCAAGTTGCATACATGGAAAGCTAAAAGGCCTCTTGTTTTGTATTATATGTGTATACTGTACATTAACTGTAGTCTATTGTTTTCATTGCTGCTAATTAGTTCCATGGATACTAGTGTGTCATTGTTTTGGGTGTGGTATATTGTAACATAATACGTATTACCAATCCTTACATGACTTACCTTCCTTCCCAACAATACATGTTTGTAGTCATGTACATGCATTCCCTTAGCCTCCCATTTCTTGTCCTATTCAATTGATCATGAGTTATTCCTTCAATGTTTGTGTGTGTATTATTTAGGGCCCACTAAAACAGTTGCATTTAATACTTACATATGTTTGTGGTTGCAAAACTGCCAGTTACAAGTGTACACTACAGTCATAGAATTATCAGTATGTATATATATACAGAAACCTTGATTATTGGTTATTATTAGTTTCCTATTGAAAGTGATAACGTTGTTCGTCAGTTTTGCTATGGTTTGTGAACATGCAGTGATGTGGCATTACTAGTTTCAGTCTTACTCTAAAACCAATTTTATTTTTGAGATTTTTCTATTGGCTACTGTACATGTGCAAAACCTTCTAAATTCTAAAATGTTCCTATAATTTATCATTTTTGTATGTTTACTTACAACAGATGTACATGTAATAGGAGCATTATTAGTAACTTGATCGATACTTTTGAAATTAGAAGCAGTTTTAATTTTACCACGATGATTCTACAACACTATAATTTCAGCACTAATTGTTGATAAACATGTACATGTATGAACACATTTTGAGCATAGTACACTATTAGATCCATGTATGTACATGAATTGTATGTACATGTACATGTAATGTTTGAAGTGTATCTATTATGTGTTCTTGAACCATATATCTATTGTACAATTGATACTGTACATGTAGAGCTTAATCATCAATACAGTTGATAATGTCACTGTTGTAGTTTAGCAGCTTTTATTTCTTTTTAGGAGTTTGATAGAGCAACTGTAGGCAAAGTAGCAAATAAGTGAGTGAAGTATTCCTTCCTCTCCTCTCCCTTCATTCCTCTATCGACTGCCATTGAATCTCCTTCTTCCATTGATTTATATCTTTTTTCTATTTTACAACATATCTTATCTTTTCTTTTCCTCCCCTCTCTCTCTTTCTCTTTCTCTCCCTCCCTCCCTCTCTCTCTCTCTCTCTCATCTTTTTTGTTCAGGCCATTAGAAGGACAGTTATACAAGTGGACCAATCCAATCAAAGGATGGCAACCAAGATGGTTTTATGTTGACCATGATCAAGGTGTCCTCCATTACTGTACTGTAAGTATACAGCACATGCAACTACAAGGCATAATATTAATGCGTGTTTTAGTTTTTAGTACACGCATGTAGTGTACACCATTTTGTTTATGCTTGTGGCTTAATTGTTTAGACAGTCTTAAGGTTACTTGTGTCAATTATTTGAATGCCATTGCTCTAATTTACACTCTAGATGTGGGCTAACGAGCCAAAATTTATTATAGTATCAGTATCATTATATTTACTAGTTTACTGTGTACACATGATTGTACATGTGCTAATGTATTTTTTGTGGAAGAATTGCCTACAAAACCACAATTCATTGCATTACTGTTGATAGAGTGTATTGATTAGGGATTATATTGTTACTTTGAGGGGGTGCAGTATGTGTTTCATCATTGCTGCATTGTCTTACAATAGCATCAATGAGTGGTTATTGTTTGATGTTTGTATTTTGTATAGTCGGAAGAGAAAAGGAAACTACCCCCAAGAGCTTCTCTTCACCTTTGGGTAAGTGGAAACAAATACTTTAAGACCCTTTTACTTTAATCTCTCCCTCTCTTTCTTTTTTCCTCTCTCGTTCTTCTCCCCCCCTTTTCTCCAGGGTGCTGTTGTATCTCCTAGTGATGAAGATGCTCAGTCATTCACAGTACAGGCGGCAAACAGTGACACATATAGACTGAGGGCAGCTGATGCTAGGGACAGGCAGTCCTGGGTCTCGCGTTTAAGACAAGAAGTAGAGCATGCAAATGGACTAGCAGCTGGACCTAAAGAAATGATACAAGTTAGAGGGAGGGAGGGAGAGAGAGAGGGAGGGAGAGAGAGATACATAGCTCTGTGTGATAAGAGATGCTTCGTTTATTGTTTTATTTTCTTCTTTAGTCTTCTGCTGCTTCTACTGGTAATAGTTTAAACTCTTCTTCTAGTAATCAGACTCCATTACAATCACCAGTTGCTGGAACTAATGCAATGTCACCTGCCACTGGTGGGACCCCAACTAGGAAAAATACTAAAAAGTATGTCATTATGTGTCGGTACACTTTATACACACTGTATTATGTACAAACAAAGATTCATTTATATTAAGATAGATTCACACTAAGGAATGAATTAGTATTGTAGTGCAGTTTGAAGCAAAAATTAAAATAGCATTTGTCTTGTTTTAAGACTCTTTTAGCAGTTCACTTCTTTTACTCAAGTCATGCATTATAACCAGAAGTGTCAATCGACATAACATATGGTGTTAATAGTTAATACAACTCTTGATTTACATGCATGTACGTTTACAGGCACTTATAAGCACATACATGTACCTGGTTTACTATTAAATACATGTATAAGGATTTCATTTTTTAGCAAATTAAAAAAATTGTAAAAAATTCAATTTTGATTGGAATAAGCTCAAACTTGCTACACAACACAAAAACATGTATGTGTATCAGAAAAAATTATAAAAGTTGAGAATTCTTTCCTTTTCAATTTTGGTGAAATTTGGCCCGAGACCGTGTACTATAGTACAGGGACTTTTGCCTGATTTTGGAGCAACTTTAAAAATTCATAAAAAATCAGAATTTGATCGGAATCAGCTCAAACTTTTTACACCACATAAGTACATGTATATGTATCAGAAAAAATTATAAAAGTTGAGAATTTTCTCTTTTTCAATTTTTGGTGAAATTTGACCTGAGACCATGTACTATAATACAGGGACTTTTGCCTGATTTAGGTATTATCTACTCTTGATAGTATACTGATGACTATTTTTATTTCACAGGACTCAACTTTCTGCTCCACTTCATCTCTCTATCACTAAACTAGGCAACAAGAGGAGGGGAGGCAATAAGAAAGGAGGAGGAGTAGGAGGAGGGGCATCATTTCAGGAACAAGTCGATGCATTTCCTGGTGGAGATGCCATGCTTGATTCTTTAACGAGACTCCAGTCATTACAAGAATCACTCCAGCAGCAACTAGAGGTCAGTTGTATATCATACAGGACTTGCATTTGGTTTTTATGAGTTCTTATTACATTTCTTGGCACTTTTAAAATGTTATAAGCTAAATTAAGTTTTGTCTATGATTTGTTAACGTTGCAGCAAAAACCCTGCACTATATAGTGTAGGGTTTTTGGCCAAAATTATAAAAATGGTTAGGAGAGAATTTAAAAAAATTGTTTTGATGCGTATACATGTACTTAAGTTGCATAGAAAATTGAGTTCATTCTGTTTAAAATTAGATTTTTATAAATTTTTGAAGTTGCTAAAAAATTGGGCCAAAGTCCCTGTACTATAGTGCAGGGTTCTTGGTCAAAATATTTTGCCAAAAATGAAAGGAGAGAATTTTTCATTTTTAATAATTTTTAAATATATATACATGTACTTATGTTGTGTTGAAAGTTTGACCTGGTTCTGATCAAAATTGAATTTTTTATGAATTTTAAAAGTTACTGAGGATTGGGCCAAAGCCTCCCTGTACTATGGTAGAGGGTCTTTGGCCAAATTTTGTCAAAAGCATCAAGGAGAGAATTCTCCATTTTATAATTTTTTATGTATATACATGTACTTAAGTTGTGTAGAAAATTTGAGCTTATTCCAATCAAAACAGGATTTTTTAAAGAAATTTAAAAGTTTCTTTAAAGCTATACATGTACATGTACTACAAAAACTTTCAATCATGTCAGAAATGATGTGGCTTTTGCAAAACTTAAAAATTCTTTTTATACTTTGCTTACATCTCTTGGTGTAAAATATGGTTTATAAAAAATTATAATATTATTTTACTAGATGTACATGTACAATTGTACATGTATAGTATCGTGTCATTATTATTTTTATTTGTAGAAGACTGAAGGAACCGGCCTTGTTCCACATGACAAAGTATGTCATATACTGCCTCTCTCTTTCTCTTTCTTTCTACATACATCTCTAATAATATCCTTCATTTCATTTGCTCTCTTTATAGAACCTTCTCCTATTAAAGAGCACGTCAGTAGCAGCTGTACAGAGCGTTCAAGACTGTCTGGCAATGATGAACGTTAACCTTGGCCGTCACTCAGGAGGGACCTCCCCTGCTCACCACACCCTCTCTCAACCCATCCTGCCCTCACCCACGGCAGTGAGCTCTTCAAATAAAAAGAAAAGCTCTCGCTCCAAGCATCGCCCAGTGAGCATGATGGACCCTAGATCCATGAGCAATAGCAGCAGGCAGGATGATATTGATGATATGTGGGGAGACGATGAAGATGAGGGTTTATCAAGATCCCTCTCTGTCTCTGAGGTACAGAGTCAAAGGAGAAACCAGCAGCAGCATGCTGGTAAGGTCCTCTCTAAGGAAGCACCATGATGGAATATATATAGTCCTTTCTTCTTAATGTCGTTCCTTTGTATTATGCTTGTGTGTGTGTCTTACTCTATTGAATTTATTGCTGATTAAATTAATTATTGTAATACTAATATTATAACGCTTAATAAATAAGATAGAAAAATCATAATGCAAGTCACTGGCACTGTCACTAATCAAGTACACTAATTGCAAGTTATTGTTCCAGAAACTCCCTCGTGTGCTGGTTAGTTAATTCAGGACAGTCCTGTTGCACCCAGTGACTGGAACCAGGGATATGCCATTAATTGGAATTATGTAACATGTATTAAAAATTACTTGGTCACAGTACTGCAAATCTTTGGATTAGAATATCAACCATTTCACTATCTCATCATCTCCCTATATATAATGAATCACATGAAAGTCACATGATCAAAGCACACTTCAGCTCACCCATAGAAGAACAGGAATATTACAATCACATTGGTTGAGACGGACCCCTTTTCCCTTGATCCATTGAAAATAATTACGAATATAATTGATGGGAGTTCATCCTTTACTTATTGAAGCTAGTCTCGCAAGCCAAACCCTTCCCAAATGACTGGGGAATGGTCTGGCTAGCAAGACATGTTCAAGCAGTGATTCATCTGCTTTTGAGCATTAAATATCAAGAACACAAGATTTAGGTCATATTAAAACTGCAAGATATGAAGAACAGAACAAACTAAAACTTTTAAAATAAGAGGTTATTTTTACTACAGTAAAAAAATATAGTTTCACGCTGTATTTGTTTTAACTATTGTACTCAGCCCATTTACTGTTATAAGAGAGCTGTAAGCTGAAAAGTACAGGAAAGTTGCTGTCTTGCTGCGTAACTAGAACTAGAACTAAAACAAAATGTTGAACTAGTACTAATAAGCTATAGTTCAAGTGTCTTCATCGTCCTGCTCTGCATCAAAATCAAACAACTGGACCCTCCTACCACCATTGGATACCTACAGAAATACATGTACATCAGTCATACAATGTAAGCAGAGATACTATAGATAAAGTAATGAAGAGTAGTAGACCAATCAAGTTTAACCAAAGACCCAGTACTATAGTATACAGAGTATTTCACTGTCCATTTTCATAATTTTTCTGATACATATACATGCTCTTATGTTATGTAGAAAGTTTTAACTGATTAAACTGACTTTTTAAAGTTGCTTGAAAATCAGATCAAAAATCATGTACGTGTACTATATTACACAGTCTTTGGCCAATTTTCATCAAAAATTAAATTTTTCCTGATGCATACGTGTTTGTTAATTCCAACCAAAATTTTTATGATGACACTGCAAATATCGTAGAGTAGGATTTTCATTTTGGATTTTATTCATTTAGAATCCTACTTGTCCTCATTTCCATTACTTTTTTGAGTAAATTCTACTCAGTTTTCTATTTTGAAAATTTTGTATTGATATATATAGCCCATGTATTTGGCCAAATTTTGAAGCAACTTTAGAATTTTATTTAGAGGGCCTGCAGGCTAAGCTTCCCATAGTACATCGACATACTGTATTAATTTTAACTTTAAAACAACCCAATAATAATGGAACTACTGTAATGTGAGGTGTAATACTAAACTTATAAGACTGAATATGGTATCAACAAAGGTGCGAACAAAATTCACAATAATTAGAATGCACATACCTCTGTGACTCCATCAATTTTTCTAATTATTGTCAACGTTCTTGTTTCAACACCTTTAAAATCAAGGTATGCTGGTATATTATTAGCTTTGGTCCTTCTGACAAAGAATGGATCTAAAAAATTAGTAACACAAAAGTAGCTACAATGATGTCTCACGTGATGCAGTATTTCTTAGATTCCTATTGAGTGATAGAATAGTCTAAAAGTTAATGGTAAGTAACAGTGTGATTCTGAAGAGCTTTACTTGCATCCTGAGTGAATTGTGAGTACTAAAACGGATGCCAGTATGATACAACCTCGACGCCATTGTTAATATTAATAATCATAAATTAATAGATCTATCACGTGAAGTCACGTGGCACACAGATTAAATGGGTTTTCTTGATCATATCTGCAGAGATGAATTACCGGTATTATGATGATATTATGATTAAGCTAATAATTAAAGAAATAACACAAAGCCATAATGAAAGTCACTGGCACTGTCACTAATTGAGTACACTAATAGCAATAAGTTATTGTTCAAGAAACTCCCTCATGTGCTGGTTGGTTAATTCAGGACAGTCCTGTTGTACCCAGTGACTACAACCAGGGATATGCCTATGAAGAAATCAATAACTGTATGATAATCATGGCAATGTAGATTAAAACACCAATTACCGTCTATCTGGAAATTTTTACTGTGATTTTAATTTTACTGGATTAGAATTTCGTAAAAATTAGATCACCACTAATATTACATGCCACATTCAATAATACATGACACACGAGTCTTATTCAGTAAAAATTAAATCATAGCACCAATTTTAAAACTCAAAAATTTTCTACCACACTAATTTCCTGATCTATGGTATTATTTTTCTACTATATTAAAGATTACTTGATGGTCACATTACTACAAATCTTTGGATTAGAATGAACGTCAACCATATCATTATCCAGGAATGCATCATCATCTCCCTATAATGAATCACATGAGAGTCACATGATCAATGCACACCTACCCATATGAGAAGAACAGGAATATCAATTGGTTTAGAAGGACCTCTTCTCCGTGATAATCCATTGAAGATATTACGAATATAATTGATGGGAGGCGTCAGGCAGTTCTTTCCTTGACTGAAAGTGTATTTGAAAGCCTCAAGGATTTCTTCTGAGAAATTATCTCTATTACGCAGGCCCTGTAGATAATAAAAGCAAGAATTAGAAGCAAGGATAAGGGGCACACATGCAAACTAATAAACTATAAACTACACAATGCGCCTGTTCACAATATTAGTAGTGTATGGGGTTGGTTGTATAGGCTGGCTCTCTTTATCTTACTCCTTTTCTTCCCCTATACATTGCCTTGAGCATACCAAAGTCACCCATTGAAATGAGAAACTCTGGCAAATAAGGAGTCCTGAACATGAACATATACTATAAAAGTTAATATAAAAATAATAATAGTAATAATATTTATCAATATTTTACCCATGACATCATTAGTTGTTTCCATGTTCTTATATGCCTTGCAAATACCCTAATAAAATTTATTATTATCATTTTGCCATAGAGCGGTCTCTGTTATATTAATTGACATATACCTGGGATTTGGGCAGTTAAGAATAATAAGTTTTTCAAACAATTCCGGATTAGAAATCACTGCTTCCCTATTATATTTACACATATAATTCCACAAAGAAAATACAGAAAATATTTACCAGCTCAATACTCCACCCCAATCATGCCCAACTAATATACACTTCCTCTCTGGGCTAAGAGTCTTCACCTGTTGAAGTTGAACAGCAACATAATAATAATAATAATAGTAACACTCAATAGGTCGGTAACATACCAATTGTATGATATCTTGTCTTAATATATCAATAGTATAGTTCATTACACCATCTGGTTTATCACTTTCACCATATCCTCTAAAATAATGATAACTCTCAGGGCCGTAGTCAGGAACTTAAAATAGGGGGTTTGGAAATTGCTGCGCGCTTTGCGAGCAGCGAAAATTTTGACGAAAATGGGCGTGGGTGGTAGGCGTGGTTTTAATTTATGCATCTCAGCCATGTGCTGACTCAGCTAAAATGGCTATCTGTGCTTCTCGCTGTTGCCAAAATGCTAATCCTTCTTTTGCAGTGCTGTTCTTCATGACAGGAGCTAATCTAAAACTTTTTTGCAGCTACAACAGGGGGTTCGTCCAAACCCCCCGAACCCCCCCTGGCTACGGGCCTGACTCTAAAAGTTACGCCATTTATTCAAAGTGCTATAATAGCCCATGGTTTTTCCAAAAAATTGTTTCAAAATCACCTTCAATTTTTATTAGGTTTTCTGATGCATACTGATGTTCTTATGCTATGCAGAAAGTTTGAGTTGATCCAGAGCTCAAGTATTTAAGTTATGGCCATTTTTAAAAATCGGCCAATTTTTTATACCCTGTACTATAGCACATGCCTTTTTCACAAAAAATGGGTCCAAAATCACCCCCAATTTTTACTACATTTTAAAATGCACATTGATGTCTTTGTGCTATGTAGAAAGTTTGAGACTCAAATTTTTCAGCTATGGCCATGTTAAAATAGATCATTTCTTTAAAAAATACCTAAAAATACCCTTTTGGCCAGGGGTGTCATTAGAAGGTGCATTGGCATCCAAAGTTGAACAAGATGCACTCACTAATGGAGCCAATCTGTCAATAAAACAATAGCAAATGTGCGTATTCTAGCTGTACTTAATCTACTTATGCATCCAGAATAATTTCCTGATACTAGAGACATCCCTATCTTTTGGCCAATCTTTATTACATACCTCATGTCAATGGCTACCACACGATACTCATTACAGAATTCCTTCAACTGATAACGCCAAGAGAACCAAAACTAATGAGCGTTAAAAACATGTAAATGAGAGAAAATGGCGGTATAACATAATATTACATATACATGTATGTCGTGTACATTATACCTCAGGAAAGCCATGAAGCAACAGCATTAAAGGTTTACTAGGATCTCCTTTAGACACACAATGAAACTTGATACCATTAGCTGTTATATACTCGTGTGTCCCATGAGAAGGATCCAATAAACAGGCTGGAGGAACTACAAGAGAATGGGCTTGATCAAAATGATCATCATGGACTCACTGCCTCTCTCCTTTTTCTTAAATACTTTACCCGGGGCACACAATATAGCTAGGCACAGTTTCACTAGTGTAGTAAACGTCCAAAGGACCTGAAAAAATAACACAAGTAAAAATAAGAACATATTCTTAAGCCCTTTCAAAGGTCAATTCAGGAGAACACACCCCCTGGAATATGTTAATTTGTAAGATATCACAACTGCAATTATGTACTTGCTCCAATAAATGCAATGTCACTGTTGTCACATGCTGTTGTTGTTGATGTCCATTAGATGGACATGCTAAACAATAAGCATATGCTAATTGATGATCTTACTGAATGTGCCTTCCTGCTGTTGTTTATCGTTTACTGCTTACTTTCATTTGTAAGGACAATTATCACAGCTGTCACTTCATCTCTTGAAATGATACTGACAGTTATTCTTTTCCTAATTGAGCTCTTTATCTTTAAAGATGTCAATATGTTGCTTTTTATGCATGTCATTGCTTCAATAAATGCAATATTGCTTAAATGCAAGTATAGGTCTACTATTCTGTGACAACTTGTCAACAACAATTTCTTTTTGAAAAATGACACAATATGACAAACTTAAAAACAATTGACGCAGCATTGAAATAAGTAAAAAAATGCAGTTCATTTGGTGAGTTCTCAATGATACTTGACATTGTACACAAAGCAGGCAACTCCTTCATAAGTGTATTGATCTCTTCCAGTAGTGCCAGGAGTCACAAGACCAATCTTATTAGCATCTGTTGTGTAATAGTGATCAGTAAAACCCAGTCGCACAGTTTTCTTGTATCGGTAGAGAGGAACTGTGTGAGGCTCCTGTGTTTGATAGCAATACCCAACAACCCCTTTAAATTCATATCCACCTCCAGCAGTTTCTGTTGTATTTGTTGTATACAAATTTTCAGGTGAGCCCTTTTTACTGTAGTGATAGAGGGGAATTCCTGTTAAGAAAAAAGGAATTAAAGAATAATAATGTATCTCTTACCAGAATTATCTGAGTCCAGGAGACAGACAATTCCTTCCGACCTGTAGCTATTCACACCAATTCGTCCAGGGACAGCATATCCAATTATTGATGTGTTGTATGTGTACAAATGAGTACCAAACTGACTATGTACATAGCCATACAAGTTCATTAAGGGAAAGGACTCCACTCCAAGCCCAAACAAAAAGATACTCACAAACAGACCAACTGTCATAAATTTGACCATTTTTACTGGTGATTTTGTTGCACTAGAACTGCTTTCCCTCAGGCTCAATGCTCCTTTAAATACACTGGCTCTATTAGTTAAAACATCAACCACTGACGTCATGAGCTTAATGGTAATGCGGGAAATAACCATAGTCTGGACAAACACTCAAGATAAAAGTGATTGTCAGCAACACGCATGCACGTGCAGGTGCAGCTATTATGCAGATAAAAATTATTATATTATTTAGCTATAGGCACATCTCAATATGCATAGTTGCAGCTTGCAGCAAACCCAAAAGCTTATATAAATATGGAAATAATATTCAAGCAGCTAAAAAAATTTTTTTGATAATATAAAATGCAAAGACCACATGCATTACAAAAAAGTTCTCACAATTAAGTCTTAAGTATGATACTTGACATTGTACACAAAGCAGGCAACTCCTTCATAAGTGTATCCATTGTTTCCAGTAGTGCCAGGAGTTACAAGACCAATCTTATTAGGATCTGTAGTGTAATAGTGATCAGTGATGTCATTTAGGCCAGCTGACATTTCTATTTTCTTTTTGTACCGATAAAGAGGAACAGTGTGTGGCTCTTGAGAGGGATAGCAATACCCAACAATTCCTTTATGCTCATAGTTCTTTCCAATAACTTCACTTGTATTGGTTGTGTACAAATTTTCAAGCCAGTTCTCTTTATTTTCATAATGATGGAAAGGTTTTCCTGTAATAATAAATATATATATAATAATTGTAACAAATTAGTTGCTTACCAGAATTATCTGAGTCCAAAAGACAAATAATTCCTTCTGACATGTAGTTTCTCAAGCCTGTTCTCCCTCGAACAGCATAACCAATTATAGATGCATTGTATGTATACAAATGAGTATTAAAATCTTTGTGTACATAGCCATACAAATTCATTAAAGGGAAAGACTCCACTCCAATAGTAAGCAAAAGGACCGTCGCAAATAGACTGAGAGCCATGAATTTAACCATTGTTGCAACAATGAATCAATCAATGTAAAGTATTTTGCATCACTAGATTCAATGCTTATGGTGCTTTATATAGTTAGGGAGAGAGTGCAAGAGTACACAGACCATCAGGCATTGTTAGTTAAGAATTATTTTGGAAATAAGTTTGCAGCCTGCACAAACATTAAAAACCTGGCTAAATTAATAACATTCATTATCATTGATTGGGTGGTGCCATAGCTGTGCTGTAGTAAAAATGGCTAATTTTCACCTTCTCATTCTAGTTTATTTTTTGCAAATAGTTTTTTCCTTTCTTGGCTTTCTGATGTTGCTGTTCCAAATTATAAGGAGGCCTTTCTCCTTCTACAAGACTAAGTCGAGAAATGGTAAGAGTAACTGAGTAAACATGACTCGGCTACAAGTTCTCCTTCACTTGTAGTTCCTCCAGCCTGTTTATCGGATCCTTCTCATGGGACACACGAGTATATAACAGCTAATGGTATCAAGTTTCATTGTGTGTCTAAAGGAGATCCTAGTAAACCTTTAATGCTCTTTGTTCATGGCTTCCCTGAGGTAGGTTCAGTTTTTAAATGTAAAGTGTAGTTAATACCTTTTGACCTTACTACTAGTTTTGGTTTTCATGGCAATATCAGTTGAAAGAATTCTGTAATGACTATCGTGTGGTTGCCATTGACATGAGGTAATATATGTATATATATGTACACTACATTTATTATTGATAATACAAAAAGGAAATTTGACTCTCTCTTTTTTGCTCTCTCTCTCTCTTTCATTGTTCAGAGGATATGGTGAAACAGATAAACCTGCTGGTGTACGCAATTATACTATAGAAATACTAAAGGAAGATATTGTACAACTGGTCAGCTAATGTTGTGATTACGTTAATATAATTAATATAATTATTAGATTAAAGTGCTCAGCCCTGATAGGAAGTGTATACTTGTTGCTCATGATTGGGGAGGAGTTGTCTCATGGTATGTGTCATAATCACTCATTCATTTAATAACAACAGGACTGTGAACACTATGTTATTTGTCTTTTTATGTGTTCCTCTCTCTTTTTTCTCATAGGAGAGTTGTTCAGAATCATCCTGAACTCTTTCATAAGTTTATTGTAATGAACTGTCCTCATGCAAAGTAATTATCATAGTGAAGTACATGTACAGGTTTCATGATTTGATACTAAGAATTGAAACATTACATTATGTTGTAAGTCCTATGGCTTACAATTAAATTAATACATTATTACAATTGAAGTTACAATTAAAATTACTTTTTAATTCATTCAGGGTATATAGAAGGGCTATCACTAAAGGATGGAAGCAAACACTGAAGTCTTGGGTATGCACTAATATATTCATAACAATCAGTTTCGCTGTCATTATAGTATATATTCTTTTTTCAATGTCCATGGATACCAGAGATGTTGCTAGCTATAAATGACTATGCTGCTTTTGATGACATGTTTAAGAAAGTTAGTGGAGTAATTTTGGTAGCAGGGTTTTCCATAAAGCATGCTAAGTGACCTAAACAACATGTTTCATGAGCTGACACAAATAGTAAAATTTATTTAAAAATCCAACTTTGATTGTAACCAGGTCAAACTTTCTACATAATGTAAAAGCATGTATATGTATCAGGAAAAAATATAAAAATGGAGATTTTCTCCTTTTTATTTTTGGCAAAATTTGGCAAAAGACTGTCTTTGGTCCAAGTGCTGAGCAAGCTAAATAGTATGCCTAAGAAGCTGAGTATTACATCAAAATCCTGTGGGAAATTCTATTGGGCAGCACTCATTTGTTTTATTTTAGGGTTTGTTTCTTAATAAAGATTTTTCTGATGACATGGTTGAGGCATTCAAATACACATTCAGTCCAAGGAGGAACTTGACTCCACCCATCAATTACTATAGATGCATGTTCATGAGCTCTAACAGAAAGCATTCGTATTCATCACAGAAAATTGAAACTCCCACCCTCTTGATATGGGTGAGATTAATAGTGTAAAGGTATTAATGTGTTTTTATTTTGACAGGGTGAGAGAGATTTGGCTCTTGATATGTCTCTCTCTGATAAGAAGGAATACAATGATATCTGTACTGACATTACCATAAAGTAATCCTAAGCTATATAGAAACTACCTGGCTCTAATGTTAACATTCATTTAATAGACGTATCCCTGGTTGCAGTCACTTTGTTCAACAGGACTGTCCCCATTTAACTAACCAGCACATGAGGGAGTTCCTGGAGCAGTAATTTGAGTGACTAATCTCAACATTTATGATAACTACGTTATAATAGTGCATGTGTTTTTTGACTAACAATAATTATGTAGAAACTGTTCACTGCTGCTATCTTAAATTTGCTCATACATGTACTACATTATTTCATGTGACTATTGCTAAAATTAATAATAATTGCTAAAAATAGTTATTATCAATTGTTAAAGTGCAAATCTGCAATCATAAACTAATTGAGAGTTCTCAATGATACTTGACATTGTACACAAAGCAAGCAACTCCTTCATAAGTGTATCCATTGTTTCCAGTAGTGCCAGGAGTCACAAGACCAATCTTATTAGCATCTGTTGTGTAATAGTGATCAAGAATATTATACACGGTTTTCTTGTATCGATAAAGAGGGACTGTGTGAGTCTCTTGTGTACGATAACAATATCCAACTTTTCCCAGATAAGTGTAACTATTGTCAGCTTCTGTTGTATTTGTTGTATACAAGTTTCCGCCATGTTTCTGATAATGATGCAGTGGAACTCCTGCATGCAAAAAAATACAAGTTTAAATGAACATTTGTGTGTATATACAATAGATAAGACTTTCTTTGTCCTTACCTAATTGTTCTGTTTCCATGAGGCAAGTTATTCCCTCTGACCTGTAACTATGTCGACCCACTAGTCCTGCAGGAGTGCCATATCCAATGACAGAGGCATTGAGAGTGTAATAATGAACACCATACTGGGAATGAGCATAGCCATACAGTGGAGTCAGTGTCATTGACTTCACTTCAGCAAGGAGAAAGATGAAAAATAAACCTCCAGCTATAACGAGCTTCATAATGGCAGTGAGTAACCGATGCTGCTAAACTTGACAGTTGATATGATATTATCCTGCGGGCAATCAGCTTTATAAATCCAAAGACACTGTTTTAAATGCTAAAGGAAGCCTGCAATGTTTACCTTTCAGTGTTACATGGGAGAGTTCACATTATGGCAACAATTAATGCCGTGTTCTGCTTATTCTGGCACTTATTTATACAAACATATCATATATATTTCAATTTCCTATCAGCTTATGATTGTAGTATTGCACATAAAGTACTCAGCCAAACCGTGATTTGAATTGTGGATCTACGACAAAAGTATAGCCTGTCAAGACAATGCTTTATGTTTCACATACAAACAGCACACAGTCAGTATAATTATAATGAAAATAGTTGCTCCAATAGTTATGCATGACTGCATGATATCATTATACAAATTGCTTTCACTGTTTGCTTCTATTGTATAACAAACATAACTGTTTGGTATTTCAAACAACTAGGATCTACATTATACACAATAACTTTATAGTACAGTAACTCTATAGCATAATTTTGTACCTTTTGGAAATATAATAAGCCGTCACTACTTTCTATTGCGATTACCGGTTTAAAGCATAGCAGTGCTGTTATAAGTAATCCTAGAAAATAAAGAACTAGTGATATGCTGTTTACATACTTTACACCACTGTAAATATTAATCACAATGAGTGGATTTAGTGAACTATATACAATAAACAAGTATATATAAACACTTTGACAGAACTCATTATAGTTTAAACAAACGTTATGGAGCATGCTGGAGGATACCGCAATGAAAGGATAGAAGAATGGATGGAACAGCAGGAGGTCAGCTCAGATGCATCTTTCAATGCCTGCTGTGATCCTCAATCAGTCAAGAGACGTAAAGCAAGATATGTTTTATACAAACAACTTGTACTGGAAGAAATTGATAAACGTTGTCGAAAATATGAAGATGATTTGCTACCAGAGGAGAAAGAAGCGATTGAAGAAGTAAAGGAAAAGTTTTCAAGGGGAAATTATGGTAATATTCACGTTTCATACAACTTTGTGGGAACATTCTACACTCCTTTAACAATCATATTATCTTTAATATACCCAAGAGTGTTGTTTCCTATACTCTTTCCAATGTCCTACCTAATATACTGGATGATTTGTATAATGCGATTGAAAGATAATGGCAATGCTTGCAAGATTTACACTTCATTCATAATTTGTATCTTGCTGATACTTTTTACTGGCATTCTTTTTATTGATATTTTCAATGTTTTATTTTGCTTTCCATTCGTTTTCTCAATTTCACTACTTGTGGAGCTAATAATGTTAGCAACAAGTATTGTCTTCTGCTATGGATTCAAATATCTTTTCAGTCATGGTGTTCTCCATTACAGATTCCAAATATCTTTGATAGAAATAGGGATGATAAAAATACAGAACCCGCTCTACAATAATGCGATGAACAATGTTATCATCACAGCTAATACAGAATCCATTAGTCGCACCATCCGTCATGCACCATTCCGACGTCTATACAGTCGACCGATTCTCAAGATATTTCACAGCATGGATATATCAAGTTATGATTTTGGTGAAATAAATGGACAATTGGTGACACAGGATGGGATCAATAGCTACATAACTTACTCTCACCTTTAAAATGATGTAAATATTGTAAATTATTATTACATTAATTAGGAATTATTTTATATTATAGCATTTATTAGTTGTTTTAATGTTGTAGTGCTATCTTATAGTGAAGTTAATTGAATCTTTAGCATTCTGACACTAGCAACATCACACCTATAGCTAAACTAATTTCTGAAGAATATAAGAGTACAGTATATTATTGAGATAATGCATGACAAGAAAGCAGATCTTGAAGAGTTTATGTTTATACTAAAGCATGTTTATGTATAGCCAATATAAGCCATTCATTCTTTTAGTAGCTAAAAACAAAACTAAGGAGGGATATACCCCACGCAGACGGGAAGAAATAAGAACTGAAAGTAGTTTAGTTTATAAAAACAAGTTACTTACACAAGTGTTGTTGCATTCCAGGAACACTAGTCATGACGTCACCCATATAAATTTGTGTTAATAAAGTACTTCCTGTTTCATATCCACGTGTGTTATAGTTTTACTTTTATGTTAATAGTTTTAGATCTACACTAATCAAATCATATCTATATTTTCACATGGATACCAAAGTGGATAGTATCTACGCTTCTATGAATGATAAATCTTATGAAAATGCAGCTGCTGTATTAGTATGAACACCTGATAACAGCCTTAACAGGTAGCTAATAGCAAAAACAATCATGATAATCAGTGAAGTGGATTAGCGTAAACGAGGCCTTATTATTACTAGATCTACATGGGCCTGCGCACAGGCTCCCTGTCTGGATGGAGGTTAGGCCTGAGGATTTTATTCCCAGAATAAAAAAAGAATAATAGGTGGTCTAAAGAATAAAGAATAATTCTGGAATAATAGGGCAAAATTTGTAAAATTGTGCAGTAGGTGTGACTGAATGCTTAATAAATCTTGTCTAACACCTTCAAAGATACCCACGAGTGTGCTTTACAAGACTCAATTGAGGCATCATTATAATGTTACAGTATAATGAGCATTAAATGAGACAAATTTTGTATAGTTATTTTGTTTATTTTTATAATACTTGGGAATAATAGGCAAATATATTGGGAATAAGGGAATAGAATAATGGGGACATTTTTGGGAATAATATCCTCAGCCCTAAATTGGAGGTGGTTATGGGTACATAACTCCCTTGAGATAAGTGGTCTCGCCCTCGACCACTTAGTTATGTACCCATATTCCCTAACCACCTCCAGACAGGGATGTATCCTACACTTATGCTAATTCCTACTGAGAATTACTGTCAGTCACTGCACTCTCGATCGAGGTCACTATTCACTCGTTAACGCTTTAGCTAGTACACAACAAAACGTTATGGAGCATGCTGGAGGATACCGCGATGAAAGGATAGAAGAATGGATGGAACAGCAGGAGGTCGGCTCGTTTGAGTCTTTCTGTGGTTGCTGTGATCCTCAATCGGTCAAGAGACGTAAAGCAAGATATGTTTTATTTAAACAACTTGTACTGGAAGAAATTGAGAAACGTTGTCGAAAATATGAAGATAAGTTGCTACCAAAGGAGAAAGAAGCAATTGAAGAAGCAAAGGAAATCTTTTCAAGAGGAAATTACAGCAGAATTTACGTTTCGTACAACTTTGTGGGAACGTTCTACACTCCTTTAACAATGATATTATCTCTAATATACCCAAGAGTGTTGTTTCCTATACTCCTTCCAATGTCTTTCATAACGTACTGGATGATTTGTATAATGCGAATGAAAGATAAGGACTATGCTTGCGTGATTTACACTTCATTCATAATTTATATCTTGCTGATACTTTTTACTGGTTGCCTTTTAATTATTGATGTTTTCAATGTTTTATTTTGCTTTCCCTTCATTTTCTCAATTATTCTACTTGTGGAGCTAACGATGCTGGCAACAAGCATTGTCTTCCGCTATGGGTTCAAATATCTTTCCAGTCATGGTGTTCTCCATTACAGATTCCAAATATTATTGATAGGAGCAGAGAACCTCTACAATTCAAATAATGCGATGAACAATGTAATTATAGCTAATACAGAATCCATTAGTCGGACCATCCATCATGCACCATTCCAACGTCTGTACAGTCGCCCAATTCTCGATATAATTCAAGATATGGATATATCAAGTTATGATTTTGGTGAAATAAATGGACAATTGGTGACGCAGGACGGGATTAATAGCTACAACCGTTACTGTTATCTTTAAAGAGACTGAATATTGTAGAGGCATGCAGTAGGCATGACATTAGTATAGTTATTTTGGTGTGGTAGTGTTATCTTATTGTAAAGTTAACTAAATCTATAAAAAATAGAATAATCCACTCTTGCTATAACTATATAAACTAATAATGGTTAAGAGTAGACTACCATAATATTGAAATAATGCATAAACAGAAAGCAGATCTCAATGAGTTTAAAGCATGTTTATTTATAGTTTATATAATCAATATAAGTCATTCATTCTTTTAGTGGCTATAAACAAACTAAGAAGGGCCTTACACCACACAGATGTAAAGAAATAAGAACTGAAAGTTCAGTTTAGTTTAGAAAAACAAGTTACTTACACAAGTGTTGTTGCATAACTGATACTGCATTAATCACTTTCCATTAAAGAGGTCTACACTGAATGAATCATAATGTAGTACAACACAACAATCTTGTATAGGGCAAGGACAACTAACCACAAACATCAAGCATGCATTCGAATCAAATACTTGTTCCTCTTCTCAATCTTATCTTCCTCAGATTCACACAGTAGGATGAATAATACTGTTTGCATATTGTTATTGAAGAAACTCCATATGCACACAACAAATCTATTATTATACTAATATGCAGTAGTATAATATTGCATTTTTTAGATTTGTTTGTTTAGTAGTAGATCTAGATCTAGTGTTAATTATTTAAGTGACATTTAGAACTATAGTTGAGGTAGCAATAACTAATGGTATAAGACTTATTGAAAATAAAATGTTACATATACATGATAACAAGTAAAATAGAAATTTGGTTTCTATATGAAGAGTATATACAGGGGAGTAGGAACCATTTTTCAATTGGGGGGGCAAGACAGATTATGTGTATGCATGTATATGTATGAGAAGGGGGTCTGGGGGTATGAGAAGGGGGTCTGGGGGGGTACCCCCCAGAAAAAAATTTCAAAAAGGGCTGCTCAGAGAGCAATTTTAACATGTTTCTGAACTACAATTACAATGTCATAATTATTATTATGACAGCAAAAAGGAGGGCGACCTGTCACCCCTATCACCCCCCTAGGTACAGGCCTGTAATAAATCAAATCATTGGCTAATATTGATTGCTCCCTCTGAAATAATATTGGGGGGCAACTTGCCCCCCCCCTGCCCCCCTGTTCCTACTCCCCTGATATATAAACACTTTGACAGAAAAAGTTTTAAGCAAACGTTATGGAGCATACTGGAGGATACCGCAATGAAAGGATAGAAGAATGGATGGAACAGCAGGAGGTAATCTCAGATCTTTGCTGTGATCCTCAATCAATCAAGAGACGTAGAGCAAGATATGTTTTATACAAACAACTTGTACTGGAAGAAATTGAGAAACGTTGTCAAAAATATGAAGACAAGTTACTACCAGAGGAGAAAGAAGCAATTGAACAAGTAAAGGAAGTGTTCTCAAGAGGAAAATACAGCAGAATTCAAGTTTCGTACAACTTTGTGGGAACATTCTACACTCCTTTAACAATTATTTTGTCTTTATTTTATGTGAGAATCTTGTTTCCTATACTCTTCCCAGTATCTTACCTAACATACTGGATGATTGGTATAATACGATTGAAAGATAAGCGCAATGCTTGCTACACTAACACATCACTCATTATCTGTGTAGTGCTGCTTTCTAGTTGTCTTTGGCTTGATATTTTCAATGTTTTATTTTGCTTTCCCTTTGTTTTCTCAATTATTCTATTTGTGGAGCTAATAATGTTAGCAACAAGTATTGTCTTCTGCTATGGATTCAAATATCTTTTCAGTCATGGTGTTCTCCATTACAGATTCGAAATAGCTTTAGTTGAAGAAGAGTACTGGTATGTGGACACCTACAGTTCAGGTTGTTGCAAACCTGCTGTACCCCCTATGCTTAAAAATATGCCATACACCATTGGTAACACCATCCGTCATGCACCATTTCGACGTCTATACAGTCGCCCAATTCTCAATATATTTGACAACATGGAAATATCAACTTACAATTTTGGTGAAATAAAAGGACAGTTGGTGACACAGGATGGGATTGATAACTACAATCGGTACTACAAATTGTATAATTACTGAAGAGACTCAACATGCACACAACATATTGTATACATGCAGTAGTAAACATTGCAATTATTATAAAGTTTGTTTATTAGTTAGTGTTATTTTATTTAGTAAAAAAACAAATTAGTCTACTAAAACTACAAAATGAAAAAGAAGTACATGCTGTGTACATGAAAACAGACTATTTCTCACAAATAAGCTCAAGCTATTATTACACCTTTTTTTGCAAACAGTCACCACAGTGTGTTAACTATATAATATAATACAAGTATATAAACGCTTTGACTTGACGGAACTCACTATAGTTTAAACAAAAGTCATGGAGCATACTGGAGGATACTGCAATGAAAGGATAGAAGAATGGATGGAACAGCAGGAGGTTAGCTCAGATCTTTGCTGTGATCCTCAATCAATCAAGAGACGTAGAGCAAGATACGTTTTATACAAACAACTTGTACTGGAAGAAATTGAGAAGCGTTGTCAAAAATATGAAGACAAGTTGCTGCCAAAGGAGAAAGAAGCAATTGAAGAAGCAAAGGAAATCTTTTCAAGAGGAAATTACAGCAGAATTCAAGTTTCGTACAACTTTGTGGGAACATTCTACACTCCTTTAACATTAATGTTGTCTTTATTTTATGTGAGAATCTGGTTTCCTATACTCTTCCCAATTTCTTACCTAACATACTGGATGATTGGTATAATACGATTGAAAGATAAGCGCAATGCTTGCTACACTAACACATCACTCATTATCTGTGTAGTGCTGCTTTCTAGTTGTCTTTGGCTTGATATTTTCAATGTTTTATTTTGCTTTCCCTTTGTTTTCTCAATTTTTCTATTTGTGGAGCTAATAATGTTAGCAACAAGTATTGTCTTCTGCTATGGATTCAAATATTTTTCCAGTCATGGTGTTCTCCATTACAGATTCCAAATATCTTTGATAGAAGAAGAGTACCAGTATGTGGACACCTACAGTTCAGGTTGTTGCAAACCTGCTGTACCCCCTATGCTTAAAAATATGCCATTCACCGTTAGTAACACCATCCGTCACGCACCATTTCGACGTCTATACAGTCGCCCGATTCTCAATATATTTGACAACATGGAAATATCAACTTACAATTTTGGTGAAATAAAAGGACAGTTGGTGACACAGGATGGGATTGATAGCTACAATCGTTACTACAGTTTGTATAAATACTGAAGAGACAGTACCCACATAACATACACATACATGTATTGTACTAACATATGCAGCAGTGTAGGCATTAAATTTTATACAGTTTGTTAATTAGTATATTTATAGTGTTATTTTATTTAGTAAAAAACAAATTAGTCAACTAAAACTGCAAATTCAAATGCAAAATAACAGCAATGAAAGAATTGTAGAACTTTAGCAACCACAAAATCAAAGCAAGCTCGAACAGAATGACAACACTAAATATACGATCACGCAAGAATGGGAGGAGGGTCCAGACACAACACACTGAACGCAAAAAGTATGCATACACAACACACGCAAAGCACTTTCACTGTTTGCTTCTTCTGTTAAAAAAACATTGACATTAAACTTGAGAATGCAATTCCATGAAAACTCTAGCAGAGCATATACACTCACTTTGGCAAAGTAAGCCATCAGATGTACATGTCTAATTGTCTATTGTGGTGAATGAATTTATTCCAGTTTGAGGATTAATTATTCTAGCTGTATGGCATCTAGTTGTCCTTTTCAATAAAACTTGCTGAAAATGTTCTTGCCATGTAAAATAACAGCTAGGGGTTTCTGTTTCTGCAAAAAAATTAGTATAATAGCCAGGTTTAATAAGTGTATATAACGAACAGTTTGACAGAACTATCTAGTTTTAAAAAAACGTTATGGAGCATATTGGAGGATACCGCAATGAAAGGATAGAAGAATGGATGGAACAGCAGGAGGTCAGCTCGTTTGAGTCTTTCTGTGGTTGCTGTGATCCCCAAACAGTGAAGAGGCGTAGAGCAAGATACGTTTTATTCAAACAACTTGTACTGGAAGAAATTGAGAAACGTTCTCGAAAATATGAAGATAAGTTGCTACCAGAGGAGAAAGAAGCAATTGAAGAAGTAAAGGAAAAGTTCTCAAGAGGAAATTATAGCAAGATTAAAGTCTCACGTAATCACGTGGGAACGTTCTACACTCCCATAACACTAATACTATCTACAATCCACCCAGGAGAGATGCTCCCTCTACTCTTTCCAACATGTTACACACTCTACTGGACAATAAAAACATTACGAATGCAGGATCAGAGCTGTGCTTGCTTAATGTACACATTACTTCCTATCACTCTCTTTCTGATGGTGTTTGTAGGTGGTTTTTTGCTTGACATTATTGATGTATTATTCTTTCTCTTAGTTTGTTTTATTTTCCTGCTTCTAGAGCTTGCTTTGCTAGCAATAAGCATTGTCTTCTGCTATGGGTTCTATTTTCTCTCTAGTTATGGTGTTCTCCATTACACATTTCAGATATCTCTGATAGAGCAAGATTTTGGCATATTTAAAAAGGCACATAAAGACACAGTTAGACGCACCATTCGTCATGCACCATTTCGACGTCTGTACAGTCGACCGATTTTCAACATATTTCAAGACATGGAAATAGTGACTTATGATTTTGGTGAAATAAATGGACAGCTGGTGACACAGGATGGGATTAATAGCTACAATCGGTACTATGTACACTATGGTGACTAAAAAGAGACTCAACATGTGTATACTTACACATCACATGATATTATACAATTGCATGCAGTAGTAGCCTACACATTCATTTATTAGTTAATAGTGTATAACTGTTTACTGTTTAGTATTACTGTTATTTCATTTAGTAAAGAGATACAACATAATGTACATAATATGAAGCAATAGATAGAATAAAAGAAACATTAATTCATTACAAAAAGCAGATCTCAGCAATGAGCCTATGATTATATTGTATTATACCATCATCAAAATTCATCATAACTTAAAAGGTTACAGCTCAAACCTTCTACATAGATTAGCGTAAGGACGTCAATTAATGCGTATCAGAAAATGTAATAATTTTTTTTGAAGCATGTATGGACTATTTTTCAGAAATTGGCATGTTCTTTAAAGTTCCCCATATAAATAGATTAAAACTGAAAGTTACTTACTATAATACTGTTACAGTTTAGTTTAGAAAAACAAGTTACCCGCACCAGTTTTGTATAAACACTGATACTGCCTTTGTTTGCAATCAACTAATTTGTATAAACAAAGACATAACGCTAGCCCAAAATAAACAACAAAGTAGACCTATTATACTAACGACAATAGCTTTCACTAAAATGGTATACTTAGGCATCATAAGTATTAGTCAATACAAAAACTAGTATACTTTACTCCATAATATACTACACTGTATATAGAATTGTACCCTATCAGTTATAAGGACTAGTGGCTAAAACATAATTCCATAAAGAAATAGAATGTCTTTATTTTGAACAGAATGAGACTGCACTACCTACAAAGGGTGTTATAGTTCTTCTGAAGCTGAGGATGGCAGTCAAGTAAACAAACTAAAAATCTTTCTCATTCTCTTCCACTGCTATCACTCCCACCATGGCTTCCTTCCATTATATTCTCATTTATTGTTAGGATTATAATGATAATATCACTAAAATAACCTAATCAGTAAAATAAACCTCCAGCTATAATGAGTTTCATAATGGCAGTGAGTAACCGATGCTGCTAAACTTGACAATCAATATGATATTATCCTGCGGGCAATCAGCTTTATAAATCCAAAGACACTGTTTTAAATGCTAAAGGAAGCCTGCAATGTTTATCTTTCAGTGTTACATGGGAGAGTTCACATTATGGCAACAATTAATGCCGTGTTCTGCTTATTCTGGCACTTATTTATACAAACATATCATATATATTTCAATTTCCTATCAGCTTATGATTGTAGTATTGCACATAAAGTACTCAGCCAAACCGTGATTTGAATTGTGGATCTACAACAAAAGTATAGCCTGTCAAGACAATGCTTTATGTTTCACATACAAACAGCACACAGTCAGTATAATTATAATGAAAATAGTTGCTCCAATAGTTATGCATGACTGCATGATATCATTATACAAATTGCTTTCACTGTTTGCTTCTATTGTATAACAAACATAGTTGTTTGGTATTTCAAAACAAAATAGGATCTGCATTGCACAATAACTCTATAAGGATAGTAACTCTATAGCATAATGTTGTACCTTTTGGAAATATAATAAGCCGCCACAACTTTCTATTATGGATTTAGTGAACTATATACAATAAACAAGTATATATAAACACTTTGACAGAACTCATTATAGTTTAAACAAACGTTATGGAGCATACTGAAGGATACCGCAATGAAACGATAGAAGAATGGATGGAACAGCAGGAGGTCACCGTCAGCTCGTTTAAGTTTCTCTGTGGTTGCTATGATCCTCAATCGGTGAAGAAACGTAAAGCAAGATATGTTTTATACAAACAACTTGTACTGGAAGAAATTGATAAACGTTGTCGAAAATATGAAGATGATTTGCTACCAGAGGAGAAAGAAGCAATTGAAGAAGCAAAGGAAAAGTTTTTAAGGGGAAATTATTATCAAATTTATGTTCCGCACAGCTTTGTGGGAACGTTCTACACTCCTAAAACATTGATATTACCTTTAATTTACCCAAGAGTGTGGTTTTCTCTACTCCTTCCAATGTCTCACCTAATATACATGATGATTTGTAAAATGCGATCAAAAGATAATCACAATGCTTGCATCATCACTTCATTCATAATTTGTATCTTACTGATACTTCTTCCTTGTCTTTTTATTGATATTTTCTATGTTTTATTTTTCTTTCCCTTGATTTTCTCAATTTATCTACTTGTGGAGCTAATAATGTTAGCAATAAGTATTGTCTTCTGCTATGGGTTCTGTTTTCTCTCTCATTGTGGTGTTCTTCATTACACATTTCGGATATCTCTGATAGAGCAAGAGTCCGGCTGTTTGAAAAAGCTGCATGAAGACAACGTCACACGCAGAATCCGTCATGCACCATTTCGACGTCTGTACAGTCAACCGATTTGCAGCATATTTCATAAAATGCATATATCAACTTACAATTTTGGTGAAATAAATGGACAGTTGGTGACACAGGATGGGATTAATAGCTACAATCGGTACTACAGATAAAAAGAGACTCAACAACATGCGTGTACTGTTACACATCACATGATATTACATAATTGCATGCAGTAGTAGCCTACACATTCATTTATTAGTTAATAGTGTATAACTGTTTACTGTTTAGTATTAGTGTTGTTTTATTTAGTAAAAACAAATTAGTCAATTCAAATGCAAAATAACAGCAATAATAGAATTGTAGAACTCTGGAGAGCCAGCAACCACAAAATCAAAGCAAGCTGGAACAGAACAACACTAAATACCTTAAAGCCACTTATTTTTAAGCAGATAGATATTTACAAGTTGTTAATGGTACTAATAGATGTGAGTACTAATTTTGCAACTTTAAAGCCACTCCTAAAAATGCCAAAAATTAGTAGACTACTCTCAAATAATAGTGTATATGATTATGATCATGCAAGCATGAGAGAGTCCAAACACAACACAGTAAACACAGTATGTATACATACACAACACATACAAAGCACTTTCACTGTTTGCTTTTTCTGCTAAAAAATATTGAAATTAAATTTTAAATGAACTTTAGGATACAATTCCATGACAACTCTAGCACAGAACTCGCCTTGCAAAATAAGCCATCACATGTACATGTCTAATGGTCTATTGTGTTGAGTGCCTTTAAGGATCAATTCTATTAACATCTAGTTGTTCTTTTCAATAAAACTTGCTGAAAATGTTTTTGCCATGTAAAATTACAGCTAGGAGTTTCTGTTGCTGCAAAAAAATCGTATAATAGCCGGTTTAATAAGTGTATATAATGAACAGTTTGACAGAACCAACTAGTTTTAAACAAACGTTATGGAGCATACTGGAGGATACCGCAATGAAAGGATAGAAGAATGGATGGAACAGCAGGAAGTTAGCTCGTTTGAGTCTTTCTGTGGTTGCTGTGATCCCCAAACAGTGAAGAGGCGTAGAGCAAGATACGTTTTATTCAAACAACTTGTACTGGAAGAAATTGAGAAACGTTCTCGAAAATATGAAGATAAGTTGCTACCAGAGGAGAAAGAAGCAATTGAAGAAGTAAAGGAAAAGTTCTCAAGAGGAAATTATAGCAGGATTAAAGTCTCACGCAATCACGTGGGAACTTTCTACACTCCCATAACACTAATACTATCTACAATCCACCCAGGAGAGACGCTCCCTCTACTCTTTCCAACATGTTACACACTCTACTGGACAATAAAAACATTACGAATGCAGGATCAGCACTGTGCTTGCTTCATGTACACATTACTTGCTATCACTCTCTTTCTGATGGTGTTTGCAGGTGGTTTGTTGCTTGACATTATTGATGTATTATTCTTTCTCTTAGTTTGTTTTATTTTCCTGCTTCTAGAGCTTGCTTTGCTAGCAATAAGCATTGTCTTCTGCTATGGGTTCTATTTTCTCTCTAGTTATGGTGTTCTCCATTACACATTTCAGATGTCTCTGATAGAGCAAGATTTTGGCATATTTAAAAAGGCACATAAAGACACAGTTAGACGCACCATCCGTCATGCACCATTTCGACGTCTATACAGTCGACCGATTTTCAACATATTTCAAGACATGGAAATAGTGACTTATGATTTTGGTGAAATAAATGGACAGCTGGTGACACAGGATGGGATTAATAGCTACAATCAGTACTACGTACATTATGGTGACTAAAAAGAGACTCAACATGTGTATACAATTACACATCACATGATATTATACAATTGCATGCAGTGGTAGCCTACACATTCATTTATTAGTTAATAGTGTATAACTGTTTACTGTTTAGTAGTA